TACTTCCTATTTTTTTGATTTTATGAATGGTATTGTCATAATTTCTAATCATTCATTTCTAGCATATAAGAATAAAATAAATTTTTATATACTCTTCTTGTATAATGCAACTTTTCAGAACTCACTTATTAGTTTTAGTAGTTTTCCTACATGGACAATCATATTGCAGCAAATAAAGACACTTTTACTTTTCTTCCTATTCAAACTGGTAACTTTTTTTTCTTTTAATTGTCTTAACAGCACTGGAGAGAATTCAGGTGAAGAGAATCTTCATTGTTGATGATCTTAGAAAACATTCAGTTTTCAACCATTAAGTATAGCATTAGCTATACATTTTTTATAGATGTCTTTTATCAAAGTGAGAAAGTTGTCTTTGATACCTAGATTTCTGAAAAGTTTTTATCAGGAATGGATGTTGATTTTTGTCAAATACTTTTCCTACATTTATTGAGATGTTTGCAAGGTTTTTCCTTCTTAGTTGATTTGTTGAATCATATTAATTAATTTTTGAATATTAAACCAACCCTGCATTCCCAGAATAAATTCCACTTGGTCATAAAGTATTATTATTTTTATATATTTGGATTCATTTTGTTAAAATTTTTTAAAAATTTTGCATCTATGTTCTTGAGTGATATTGGTCTATGGTTTCATAATTAGGATAATACTGCCTCAAAATAAGTTGGGAATTATTCTTTCCTTTCTAATTTTCTGGACGAGTTTATATAGATTTGATATTTCTTCCTTAAATGTTTGGTAGAATTCACCAAGGAAGTCATCTGGGCCTAGAATTTTCTTTGTGGTAAGTTTTTTTAACAATAAAATTAATTTCTTAAATAGATACAGGGCTATGCAGGTTATTGATTTCTTTTTCAGTCAGTTTTGGCAGTTTGCCTTTCTGAGTGAGCTTTGGTAGTTTGTATCTTCTAAAGCATTTGTCTATTTAAGTTGTCAAATTTCTGGCATACAGTTGTTCATAATACTCTTTTATGATCTTTTAAATATCTGTACACTCTGTAGTGATGTCTGTCACCTCTCTCAATAACCACCACCAGGCTAACCCATC